AGATCCTGGTTGGCTTATTTTTTTTAATTTAATTTTAATATATTTAATTTTTATTATTATTATTATTAATTTTATTTATAATTATTTATTTTAATATTTGTTTTCACAATAAATTTGCTGCACCGGTGGCTTTCACAAACAAAACAATTATTGCAGCAAAATAATTGTAACGTCAACAAATAATTAAATTAAATAATAATTCGGGGGTGATTTATTTTTACGTGATCATATTGCAAATACAAATATGGCAACGTTTGGAAGAGATTATTGGCGTGGCCGAAAATTACATATTCTAGTAACTCCCATTTGATTTACTGTTGGCTTTTGATATGCTAATTAGGTATCTGACCTGGACGTACTCTAAATCGACCGGAACAGATTACGCATTGTAAATATTTCCCAAGTAATATGATTTGCATCCTGCGTTGAAGGGTCATCGTAATATACCACTGATATACATGTACAAAGTTTCATCGCCACGTTCCCGATCGGCGCAAATCAACACACGTGGTGCGACGTGTGCACTTCCCTGTTTTGACAAAAACAACAACAACGTTGGACCTTATTTTAAAAGTCGTGACGCCCATTTAGAACCAGCCTGTACGAGACGTCGGTAAAGCTATGGAAAGTGACACTCTTGTTTTCTTCGTCAACGGAACGAAGGTACTGATTTTCATAAGTTCGTAAAACTATGCCTTCTAATAAACCAACTCGCAGTCGTGTTTGTGGGAATGATATGTCATTAGTAGCTTTAGTAGTGTAGCTTTTGCAAAACTAGGTCGCCATTGACCTAAACTAGGTCGCCATTGACCTAAACCAGGCCGCCATGGAGCGAAACCTGACCATGCTACCATCCCATAAAAAATAACAAAGAGTATTATCGAGCTACAGAAATGTAGCTACATATGTAGGCGTGTTCTATATGAACCTTCTATTCTATTATAAACTATGTTGTATATTCCCAGCTACATGATCAACACGATAGTTGGGTTTGCAAACCACTGACAGAGATAAAATTTACAAATCCAAAGGTCAGATTGGCTGGTGGGCTGTAAACAACAGTCTGCCAGAAACTACTCCTGTTGCATTAACTATGCATGTCCAATTACTCTCAAGTCTGCATGTTAATATGGCTGAGCAATTTCCACCAATCAGATAGCAAGATTTACTATGTAATAATAATAATAAACTTTATTGATATCGTATCCTTTATAGGATCTTGAGTTAAATTACAATAAAGTGTGGATGAAAAAAAAACCAAGAAAGACAATAAGATAAAATATCATAAAAATGATAACAGAAAAAAAAAAAAAAAAACCTTGCAGATATGCCTTGATATTAATATTGTTGTTTATTTGGATGAGAATGAAGGCTTTTTCATGTTATTTTCTCTAATTTTGAAACATTCGTAAATGTATTTAGCTAGTTTTATAATTGTTTTATTTTCATTGTTGTTCATCATAGCTATAATTTTTTCTTCATCTGTCGTGTTTGGAAGTGACATTTTTGACTTAGTGTTTAGTTGGTTTCTTTCATTTTCATATAATTTGCAGTTAAGCAGAATGTTTTTCATCTTCAATTTCGTCTAGGTCACACACA